GGGCTCTGGTGGGGCTGCCCTAGCTGCATCTGCCTCACTGGGGCCCCCCAGGGCCTCCCCACCTGGTCGAACGACTCCCCGCACCTCTCAGCTGTGCCGGCGTGGAAGGCAGGCCTGAGGTCAGGGGCGTGAGGACACCCAGCAGGCAAGGGCTGGGCAGCGGGCGGGAGCACCACGCAGCTCTGCTCCTCCAGGGGTGAAAAGGCAGGTCCCGCAAAAGCCCGCATGTGGGCTCTCTCATCAGTCCCGGGGCCGCCCAGGCTGCACGCAGCCAGGCCCGTCGGGTGAAGGGAGGGGCAGCCGCCGGCCTGCGTGTGGTGGGGTGACCTCAGCAGTGAGGAGGAAGGAGCTTGGGGACCGGCAATGCCATGGGAACCGCGACCACATGCCGCTCGAGTGAGCTTGTGGAGAGCCGCGGGTGTCCGTGCCCGGGAGTGTCTGGCTGTGGAGGTGAGGGCGGCCAGCAGCTGCCAGGGGCTGGGGGGTGACGAGACAGCGGGGTTCTCTTGTGAGGCACATGGACGTCTGCACCATGTCATCCTCTGCTGGGGTGGGCTGCTGTGCGTGGTGGGTGTCCACCGCCTCTCCGGCCCCTGTCGCTGGATGCCAGGAGCTCCCTCCCAAGCTGTGAAATCCAAAAATATCCAAAATGGAGGCAGAGGCCTCCCCGCCCCATGACCGCACAGAGTCGGCAGCAGCTGACCTGCCCCTGGTGGGGCCCTGGGTAGCTCACCCGGGGGGTGGGTGCAGGGCCTGCCTCCCCCACCCAAGACTGCAGCCTGCAGGGGATCGGCGATGATTAGCGGGGCGGGGGGGGGGGGGGAAAGGAAGGACTCACAGGTAGAATGCGGGGTGCCCAGGGATAGACAGCAGCGGATGGTCTGTGTGTGTCCCACGTATTACACACTTTATTCATTTACCTGAAATTCCCCTTTAGCCAAACCAAACATTCTCTATTCTTAACTTGGACAGTCCGGCAGCCCTATTCTTGGGGAAATCTTCAGGGTTTTTTTTTTTTTTTTTTAACCTATTAGCTCTTGGCTGGAATATAAATCTTTTCCCACTTTCCAAAGACACAAACATTATGGCTAAAATACCACGTTTATCTTGTCTTCTTGCCTGGATGGCCGAGTCCGTCCCCCTCTGCCTCTGCCTGATACGGTGGCCCGGGTTCCTGGGCCGAGGGACGTGCCGGGGACGTTCAGACCCAGATAATCCAAACAGGCTCTTAAACGTGCGAAGTCAAGTCTGTACATTGGAACATTGTAAAACCAACGAGAATTCTCCCAGCCCGCCCACAGGTCTTCTCCCCCAACATAACCTTCCTCTGCCCTTCTGGGGGTATTAAAAGCTCCGGTATGAACATACCCACCTATGCTGGCACGTGCTTTAAATTCCTCTCCTTCCACGTGCAGTCACACTGTGGGCGTGGGTGTCTTTTCCTCGGGTCCGCTGGGCCCAGGAAAGCTGGGGTTTGTCTTGTCCCCCGTGTAGCCCCCAGAGCACAGAGTCCCCAGTGCGTGGCCTTGGATATTTGTTAGACGAATGGATTGTTGGGTGGCTGGTCGCTGCTGTTAACTGAGCTCTCCTGATAAAGTGCACGCCGGCTCCAGGGGTGTGCAGTTAAAAGCTTGACACAGTGACTTATCTCTGTGTACCCATCTTGCCTGTCTTATTTTGGGGTGTATGGAAAGCCCTGGCTCTTTGCCTGCTAAGCTTTGCCCCCCCCCCCCAGGGACCCTGAGCCATGGCTGGGGACACTTGTGTCCCCAGGGGAGGGAGCTAGTGCCAATAAGGGGGAGAGCCCAGGGTGCTGCTGCTTCCCTGGGTTCCAGGACAGCCCACGCCACCCCTGGGTCCAGGCGCCCCATGCTGGACAGCGGAGCCATTGCCTGTGCCATCTCCTGTTGGGTAACAGGCTTTGGGCCCAGTCTTAGAGCTCTCCCCGCACTGGGGTGGGGAGACTCGTGTCTGGAACCCCTCTGGCTTCCTCTTTCCCCGCCCCACCTGTCCCCACACTCCTGCCCCTGTGGTCCTCTCCCTGCAGAATTCTGGCCGTGCCCCCCTCCATCCCCATCAGCTCCTCCATGGGTGCTGACCCAGCCACCTGGCCCGGGGCTCCCACCCCGGCCCTGCCCACCGCGCTCTGCTGGGCTCTGCCGCCCTGCTGGCTGTTCCTAGACTCACGCTGGGCATGCCCACCCTGGGAGCCGGGCATTTGCTGTTCCCTCTGCTGGGGGCACTGCTCCCTCGGGACCCCGTGGCTGAGAAGCCTTCCCCGAGGGTCCCTCGTCCCTGCCCCACCCTGACTGCTGTCTCACAAGTTGGCATAACGCCTCCCTCTCCCAGAAGAACTGAGGAAGGAGCAGGGTCAGAGGCGTCTGTTTCAGATTCTTCCAACTGTCACTCTCTGACAAGTCGAGGCATAGCGGGTAGAAAGGTCTGGACTGGGAGGAAGGTCTGGACTGTTTCAGGGGTGACCCTGGGCCAAGGGCCTCTGCACTCCTCTGCAGCACCCTGCCCCACACTGGGGGATCTTGAAGCCTATTTAGCCCCGGCATGTGGGGAGGCCCGGGAGGGGGCTTGGGTGTGTTTCAGCAGCAGGACATGCTGATGGCTCCACTGGGAGACGGCTCTGACTTCCGACATGTCAGGCTTCAGATCCTGGCCAAGGGCAGGGAGGGGGAGGCGAGAAGAATCCCCAAATGGCAGCTCAGAATAAGTAAAAAGATTTTTTTCTTTTTGATGCTTGGGGCCAGAAGAAAGCTTCAGGACAGCTTGATCCAGGGGTTCAGGGGTGTTGTGCAGCCCATGTCTGTCTGTCTCTCTGTTCTCCCTTCCACCGGGGCAGCCCCTTTGTACCCGTGGTTCACCTGTGATCTCTGGATGGGGCCAGTTTCCAGGGACCTACCATCTTCCTCCCTCAGTCTTGTCCAGGGAGGGACACTGGAGTGGTCAGCTTCTTTTCCAGAGACTTCCAGGATACCTCTTTTCCATTCTTTTGCCGCACAGGGTCACGTGCCCACCCTGAACGATCACTGTAGCTGGGGGTTACTTGTTAGACCCAGATCCCACCCCATCAAGGGCCAGGGTGGGGTAGCTAAGGCACAGCTGCCTAAGTGAAAAGTGGGGTGTGTCCCAGGAAAGTGGGCCTCGACAAGAGAAATGGTGTCTTCCCCATTTTACAGATGAGGACGTTGAGGCCCCAGCACGCAGCCCCCCTCAGCCCGCAGAGGCTCTCAGCAGCAGACGTGGGTTTCAAGCCCCTTTCTCAGTGCTGCGTCTGCCGTTGCTCAGCCGGGCTGTGCGTCTGGGGCCTGGCTGTCGGGCCGGCGGCCGGCGCTTGGATTTACTGTATCTGGAACGGCATCAGCTTTTCAGGCGAGGCGTTTTTATTTTGCCCTAAAAGCCTTCAGGGGGAAGGGAAACCCAATTCCTAGGGGCTCCGTTTTAATGGTTTCTTTTATAGAATTGTTCAAATTATAGATGGGTGAACTCGAGGAAACCCCGCTAAAGAATGCAGGAAAGCTGAACATTAAAAGGGCGAAGGTAAAATAGTGGTGGGCAGGGGAAGTTTGCTCCTTTACACGTTAGTTGTTAAAAAACCACAGTGAATCCCCTGGTACCAAGCGGTTGTTGGGGAGGGCAGGTTTCCTGATTTCCAGCACATCTGGGGGGCTCCAGGTGAAGTTAGTTCCAGATGTGGATGGGCCCCGTGTCTCCAGAACCACCGCTTTTGCTGGCTCTCTGACCCCCACTTACCCCAGGTGTCTGATCTTGTGGCTACGCCACCGGCCTGGGGTCAGCTCTGGCTGTCGCGTCCCGGGCCGATGTCCTCCGGGGCGTGGGCTGGTTCTCTCCAGAGCGAGACGGGCGCTCTCTTCACCCCCATCTCGCGTTATCTTCCCCTGCAATACGTGTCGCCCCCAGACTTGACATCAGATACGTCCTGGTCTGTGACCTCGCGGCTGCGGAGCCGGTGGACTGTCTTGGCCATGGTCCCAGCCCGTGACCTTGGCTGCTCCACCCGCTTGTACCCCCAGTCGCTGGGACCCCGTGCCCTCTGGGTGCCCCTTTCTGCCTGCCCAGGCTCTCCCAGGGCCTCCCTCCCTGGGCACGCTTCCCCGACCTCTGTCTTCCCCGCGTGTGCCTGGGTCTTCCCGCGTCCTCCTGAGGACCCCGGCACTGGATCCCTCCCTCGCCCAGTGTGTCCCTCTCGTAACTGATTACATCTGCAAAGACGTCTTCCAAGTGAGGTCGCGCCCGGCTGTTCGGGGTGGACATGGGTTTGGGGGGACGCTGTTCAACCCAGTGATCAGAGCCAGCCAGACTGCCTGCTGCTGCCCCCGGGACCCTGTTTTCTGTTTTCCTCCCACCCCCAGCACTTTTCCTTCTGCCCCCCTTACGTCTCGTGTCCCCAGCTCTGCTCCAACCAGGGCCGGTCTCCTCAGCTCCTCGCGCCCACTCTCCTCGCTCCCAGCCGGCATCTGCCTCTGCAGCGCCCCAGGCCCGGGCTGCACACTCCCCAGATTTCCACGTGGCTCCCTCCCTTAGCGTGACCCAGGTCCCTGCTCAGACAGTACCTTTCTCTGTACAGAAAGTGGTCACCAGGCCGCCGCTGCGGGCCCCACCCTCTTGGCACCCAGCAAGATCGCCCCCACCCCTTGAAATTAGGCGGCTCTGGGAGCTGCTTCGGCCAATGCAATGGGAACGGAAATCTCGGCTCCGTCCCCGCCCTGCGGACCCGGCCCGATGCTGTGTCCCCGCCTGCCTGCACCAGCACCCCTGCCTGGAGGACACGGCTTTTCACTGTGGGGTTGCCCGCTGTGTTCCAAGCTCCTCAGACGGCCCGGCTGAGGGTCAGCGCCGCAGAGATGCGGGCTGGGCGGCCAGGGCATGGGCGCATGGAGGGGCAGGCGTGAGGGAGCCGCGCCTGCGTGGCCTTGGCCTGCCCCCGCCTCTCCTGTAACCTCCTGTGTATTTGGCTGCTTCCGGTCTAGGGCAGAGCATCAACCCCAAGCTGGCAGGTCTGATCGGGCGGCACGGGCCGCAGAACAAGCAGCCCTTCATGGTGGCCTTCTTCAAGGCCACGGAGGTCCACCTCCGCAGCGCCCGCTCCACGGGCGGCAAGCAGCGCAGCCAGAACCGCTCCAAGACACCCAAGAACCAGGAGGCCCTGCGGGTGGCCAACGTCGCAGGTATGCCCAGGCGGGAGGTCAGCACGGCCCGAGGAGCCCCAGGAGCTCCAGCAGGACCCAGCAGGGGAGAGACTGGGAATCTGGGGAGGTGCCCAGCAGATGGCACAGGGGACCAAGCCCTGAGCCCCGTCCCGCAGAGCTCGCCTCGTGCTCAGTTCATTGAGAAATGCAAGGAGCGAAGGGTAGATTCCAATCGGGCACGTGTCTAATAGACTCAGTAGGGACCACACCTACCACAGCACTTAATAAATGATGAAAGCATGGTGGGGGGCGCCCACGCTTCCCTGGGGGGCTGCTGCTGGGGCAGTGGGGGGAAGAGAAACAGAAGAGTCCGTGGTCTCTCTAATCTCACCTGTTAGAGTGGAAACCATCTGAAACCCCTGCAGGAAACTCAGGGTAAGGAGGCTTCTTTGTGTATCAGGCGGGAGGCTTCTTTGGGTATTAATTAGGACACCGTTAGGTTTGTTTGAAAAATGTTTTGTTATGAGAGGCGAGGACGCGCTGCGGACGCTGTCGTGGGGTACTGGGGTAGTTCAGGATTGCGCGAGACGTTTCATTATTAAAAGTAAAAGGGAATGAAAAGTAAAAGTTATATTTTCATTAGCAAACAATTCAAAGATTACCACGTACTGCGTCCTCAGAAGGGGACACCAGGGCTCCCCACACTTCAGTCTGCATTACAGGTGCCCGAAGCTTTTACCCCAAGAAGTGACGTGGCTCCTGAGGCTGATGCCCTCCCCTTTTATAGAGGGGGCCAAGCTGGGGCTCAGAGAGGTTAAGTGATTTGCCTAAGGTCACAGAGCAAGCAAGTGGTAACCCTGGGACCCGTACCCTGGGAATTTGGGGAGCAGTCTCTTTCCTCGGGATCTGATTAGAGAGCAGGACCTTGATGGCATCTGGTGGCCTGGGGTGGCTGGATCGGGTTTTGGGGCTGGGCTGGGCCCACACCCCTCAGTCTGGCGCTGCCTTGCACAGGAAGCACTGCCTTTGCTACTGCACAGGCATCTGGAGCCCCCAGGCGGAAAAGAAAACTTCAAATACGTTAACTTCACCAGCGAGCCATTTTTGCAGTGAATATGAGCCCAGCCTGTGACTGCAAGAACTCTTTGGCTCCCTCCCCGCGCCCTCACCTTGACCAGGTGTGCTGCCATCCTCGGGGTTTCCAACCACCTTCGGAGCTGTCCCCAGCGGGTAGAATAACAGCTGTCCCCAGTGGGCAGCCCCCAGAGGCCTGTGTCGTACGTGCTGGAACCGGAGCGTATGTCCTCGTGGGGGCACAGGGGGCTACGTTTGCAGGGGGGATTAAGATTGCTAATCAGCTGAGCTTACAGGGAGGCTGTCCGGCCTTGTCCAGCCAGGGGGAGTGTCTCACCTGGGTGCTGAGAAGGGGACGCTTTCCTCGCCGTGGACAGAGACATGAGGACAGAAGGGAGGGCAGAGATGTGGCTTTGGAAACAGGAGGGGGTGTGTGTGTGAGTGAGTCAAGCAATGGGGTGACCTTTAGAAGCTGGAATAGACCAGGAAACAGCTCCTCCCCCCACCCCAGCGCCTGCCAACACCTTGGCCTGGCCTGGAGAGCCGAGCGGACTCCTGAGCCACAGGGCTGGAAGGCTCGTGTGACAAACTGCAGCGCTTTGCTTTTGATCGCTTGTTAAAGCCGCCCAGGGAATGATGGACGCTGTTTGCAAAGCCGCTCCCCCCCCCACCCCACCCCCCCCCATGCCGGTGAGCAGGGACACGACCAGCCAGCCCAGGGTGGGGGCTCCAGGGGCTCAGCTCCCCTGCCCCCTCGGCCTGTGCCTGTCTCCAGAGGGTCGTGGGTGGCAATGCTGCCCCGGCCCCCCCGAACCTGATGTTGCTGGTTGTCTCTTTCCCCTTGCCACAGCGACTTTGATATCTCTGTTCATTTTCCTTTTCGAGGGAGAAAGAAAATGCAGCTGATTGGGGAAGTGCCAAGAGTAAGGCTTTGGGGGAGGGGGGGGCAGGTGACCCCAGGGGGTGTGGGCGGCCCCAGAGTTTGTGTGCAGGGATTTTGTAGGGACTTTCCTGGCAGGTGGCTCCGTTTATTTTTAGGATTCTTGAAAGGGTCTGTGATCCCTCAAATCAAAAACCAACGGAATGCTTCATTCCTGTCGGGAGCTGCCTCGATGCTGGGCTCCTGGGGGTGGGGGTTCAGTGGCGAGCGCCCCGCCACCGGCGGCCTCGTGGAGCTAAGTCGAGACAGGCAGGAGCTGGCTGTCACCCGCAGCCACACTTGCCTTAAAAGGGAGAGTCGGGGCAGTGACAGGGACTGATGCGCCTGGGGAAGGGCAGAGAAGACACAGCTGAGAGCAGTGGGTCGAGGGCTCTGCCCCGCAGGCTCTGCCCAGGGGACCCCTCATCCAAAGCAAACGTAGACGCTTTGCAGAATTCAAGCTGCGGCGTGGGGTGGGATGACGAGAAGGTCATTCTGGCTGCTCTGAGGGCCGCGGGAGCATAGCCGGTCTCCTGGGGAGGAGGGGGCCTTGGTAGAGGCCTTTCTGTCAAGCAGGTGGAAAATGCTAGCATATTCCATCTGGCAAAGACTCCCGAGCCTCTTGCGTGAGTCTCATGATGAAGGGGAAGGACCAGGTCTTTAAACTCTTAGAATTTGACACCTGATTCCCCCCTCACCTCCTCACCAAAGCCCCACCAAGCCTCCACTTACATAACCCCAAGACTCCTGCCCCTCCTTCCTGGGGAATCCTGGGCAGCGGCCCCTCCTTCCTGGGGAATCCTGCTGTCTGGCCTGGTTTGAAGTTCTAAACTCTGAAGTTTCTTTTAAAAACAATACCCAGGCGCGAGCCCCCTGCAGGTGAGTGGACCAGAATCTGTGTGTATGTGTGTGTGTGCTCACATGTGTGTGCGTGTGCTCACGTGTGGGAGTGTGTGTGTGCTTGTGAGCACGTGGCTGGGCCCTGCCGAGGGCCACACAGGCCGATTCTGCGCGTGGGGGGAGGATGCAAGCCGTGGCCTGCAGCGCTCGCGCCCTCTCCCCCGCAGGCGAAGCCCCGGCCTGCAACTGTTCCTCAGATGCTGTGGTTTGGGGCGGAGAAACTGGGTCCCCCGCCTCCCTTCCACTTCCTCCTCCCACTCACATTTGGGCCCAGCTCCCCGGTAATTAGCCGTGTTCACCGGATGACCCGTGGGGGTGGCCCGCGTGCACCCGCCGCGACTTGTTCGCTGCCGCTGGGGGGTGTGGAGGAGGCCGAGGCCACAGCAGCCTGGCGTCCACGGGCGCTGCTGCCGGGCGGGAGGGGCCGGCCCCGAGGGACGGGAGCCGCGGTTGCTTCCTGGGGGTCCCTCTGTTCTTCCCGTGCCCCCTCTCTGATGAGCAGGGGTGGCGGTGAACCGACGCGTCCCGACCGCTTTCTCTTGGGGCAGCACGAGCCTCGGGGCCGGGAGGGGAGGTGCAGGTGGCTGGGGTCCCCGATGCGGGGCTGGGGTCCCCCATGTGGGCTGGGGCCCAGCACACACCTACACCCACAGCTTCGCTCGCGGGGCTGCCTGCAGCCGTGGCTTGCCGGGGCTCGGGTGGCTTTGCTTTGAGATGGGGCTGGCGTTGCTCGTCCATCGTGACACTTCCCACTGGGCCCCCAGTGCCTCCTTTACCCAGGACCTCGAAAATCAGCACAAAGTGTCGCTGCCTCGCCCCTCACCACACCTCACACATCACTGGGCCGAGCGCCCTGCTCTTCCCTGCTGGCTCAGTCCTCCAGGGCCCACGCCTGCCTTCCCGCCTGGGGAGAGAAGGTTCATGGCTGTCGCTCCTCGTGGCCTCGGCCATTGCCACCAGATGGGCCCGTGGAAGAGCCGGCAGATTTCTCAGGCTCTTCGCCGACGCTTCCCTGAACTTGACCTTCCTGTACTAATGACCACCTGGCCCTGCAGCTGGTTCGCTCACAGCTCAGAGGTGGGGAAGGGGACTCGGAACGCCCCGTTGCTGCTCCATCTTCCTTAACCTCCCCAAGTCCCTCTACGCTGCCCGCCCTGACCCTGGCTCAGGCCTCCTCATTCCTGGAAGGTTCTAGCGCCTGGCTCTCTGTGCCTTTGTTATCAGCCACTCCTGTCCCGGTTTTGTTGACTTCTCGACACGGAGGATCCCTCCCTGCCCTCCTATCTCGCTTACCCCAGAGCACCCCACTCCACGGACATCATTCGTGTTTGTCCATCACGCCCGCTCTGGCCCGGGAATCAGCATGCCCCCCGCCCCCCAGCAGAGCTTTGCTGTGTCCACACCTGCAGCTTCAATCCCTAAAATGTCTGCCACCCAGCAGGCATCTCCCACCATTTGTCCGGATGGATGAATGAGGGGTGCCCTAGCACGGGCCTCGGGGGCCGCGCCATCCATGCGCATGCTCCAGGCACCCCCAGAAGGCTGGCTGTGCTCCGCCCTCCCGAGATGGTCTCTGGCTTCCAGGGTCTCCTGGGTCGCAGCCTCTTTCCTGTAAACACACACGCAGCTCCGTCAGTGTCAAGTAAATGTGATTTCCTCCTTGGTTTGCAAACCTTAAAAATTGCTTTTCTGAAGGAGAGATCTCAAGATACGCATAAGATTGGAAATAGTCAAAAAAGCTGATGAAAGAGAAGGTGCACATGACCAGCCACGCCCAGCCACGAAGGCTTGCCCGTCTTGGACTGACGATTTCCAGGAAGCCCAGGGGCACTGCTTCCTGATCAAGCTTTGCCCCCACCTCTTCCCTCCCATCCCCACCTTCTCTTCTCAGCCTCTCCTTCCCACCCGCGCACCCCTTCTCCTCCACTTCTTTACAGGATTCTCCGGACCATGGGGTAGCTCAGCTGCCTGGAGACCGATTTCCAGGACAGCCCTGGAAATGGGTATGTCCCAGGTTATGTCCCAGGTTTCCTGGCTGTATCACCGCCAGGCTCGTGGCTGTGGAGTCAGCCGCCCACACAACCCCTACTCCACCACTTTACAGATGAGGACATTGAAACCCAGGGAAGGGAATTCAGCCACGTGCTCCTTGGCTTATCATTTCTCACTAATCTAGAAGCCTTGCAGATCGAAGTCTTGTGACTCAGGAGAAAGTAGAAAGTTTCAATTTTGCAAAAACCCTGGTGACGTGTTAATGTGTGTGGAGGAGATGGTCATTAACTCCCAGCAGCTAGAGGATGTGCATGTAAGAAGGCAGCGTGTAGCTTTAGACTTAACAGGTGGGCCGGAAGGATAACAACAAATAGCTGGTTGCTCTGAGCTAAGTGCTGTGCTGAGTGGATTCAAACACTCGAGGTTGCCCTTGGAGGTGTAAGTGTAGACCTCCCCGCTTTTAAACCAGGAGCCCAAGGCCTGAGAGAACCAGGTTTGATTTCAGAGCTAGAGTGGTCCCTCTTACCTCATCCTGACCACAGCATCTACAGCTTCAGCATCTACCCTTCTAGGCTCTATCCCTCCCATTACTGGCTCTGGGTATACAATGGTGACCTCACAAGGCCTTTTTGAAGAGGTGACGTTAGAGCCAAGTCTTGAACATCAAGAAGGAACCAGGGCCTCCCCTGGTGGCGCAGGCGGTCAAGCGCCACGCCGTGAAGCTGCCTGCAGCCTCTGCAGCGCTGGTTTGATCCCAGCTGGCCGGCGAGGGTCCCACATGGCGCGGCAGACCTCTCCTGTCGCACCCGCTGCTCCCCTCAGCAGTGTATTTCATCAGTCTGCCTGTTCTGTTCCCCACTCTGTCTCTGGTGAATCCTCTCATCCTCCTGCACATCTGGCCTGTACTCCAGTTCTCGTATAAATAAATAAATAAATCTTAAAAAAAAAAGGGGGGGGGGAGCCAAACACAGAAAGCTTACAGGAAGGAACATTCCAGGTAGAGCAAACAGCAGGAGCAAAGGCCCTGTAGTAAACACAGGTCTGACAGCATGCTCATGGCACAGGAAAAGGGTTGAGGGGACTGGAACTTGGGGACTGATGGTTCAGGAGTCAGGGTCTTACAGGGCAAGGGCAGGAGAATTGCTCTAAGTAAGATAGAAAGCCCCTGGAAAGTTTTAGGTGGGGGTAAGACAAGTTGTGGCTAAGAAGGAAAATAATCCCTCTACCTACAGGGTGGAGGGAAGAGTGTGCAAAGGCAAGTGTGTGTGTGTGTGTGTGTGTGTGTGTGTGTGTGAGAGAGAGAGAGAGAGAGAGAGAGAGAGAGAGAGAGAAACTTCTACATGTTTATGAGTGCGTATCCTTGACCCAAATGTCTGGTAAACCTTACATACTTCTGGAAAACCCCAGTGCATCACTTGGGCTCCCCACAGGAACCTCAGCGGTGTGTTTTTCTGGAAGGTCAGTGGGATTTGACTTTCTGCCCCCATGTTCAGTGGTGGTGGTGATGGGGGCTTGGTTCCAGGCCCTGTGTGAGCCCCCTCCAGGTCCCTCCAACCCACTGAGCCTTGTGGGGTGGGCTGGTCTGGCCTCCCAGGCAGGCTTGTTGGAAGCACACCCTCCGAGCAGGCCCCTGCAGCTGGCACTGTGGGGTGGAGATGGGGCTTACATCCCATGTGGGATCCAGGCGGATGTCAGCATCCAAACAACACATGTATATAAAAGAAACCACGTCCACAGAAGGATCCGGAAAGTACTGTGAACTGAGAGTACTGAGAGAGGGGTGGGGGTGTTCATGTCTCCCTAATGGGCTGTTTCAAGGCTAGAAATGAGTTTTAAGCTACAGGTTCTCAGATGTCTCTCATGTCAAAGAAGTCACGGCCAGCTGTGTGGACCCCCCACTTACACCAGGACCCCTCACCACCTCTGTTTCCTCCCCTCTCCCCCCACCTCCTCGCCAATGCAGAAAACAGCAGCAGCGATCAGAGACAGGCCTGCAAGAAGCACGAACTGTATGTCAGCTTTCGAGACCTGGGCTGGCAGGTAAGGGGGTGTCTGGGGCCTCTGGGTGGACGCAGGACCGTGTCCCTCACAGGACGGAGTCGTGTCTCGGCTGCCAGGGCTCCGGGTATCACGTGGCCTGGCTAGGCTAGGGAGCTAGGGTTACGGATATGGGGATGTCAGGAAACCCCAGGGCAGACATGTGGTCGAACCAGAACAGGAACCCAAACATGTTGACTCTGAACCCCACTTGCATTCGCAGTCAGCTCTCTGCTTTGATCCCGCCTCTCGGCTGGACTCCAGCTGCCTACAAAGGCGCCCCCTACCTGGCTGCCCCTGATTGGCCCAGCTGGGGTCAGGTGGTACTCCTAGGCCAATCAGCTGTTTCGAGGATGGAGTCACGTGATAGAAACATGGCGGCCCCCTCTGGAACTATTTGCATGGAGCAGGGCGAAGGGCAGGGCCGGAATCCCAGAAAAGGACTGCGGGTTACACGCTAGTGTGATTTATGAGCCTCTCTGACGGCCCAGGCCCGGTGGGGCCCAGAATGCCCGGAGCGGGCGATGGCATGGATCTCCCACACATATGGGGGCACCGAGAGTCTCCCCTCTGGGACCTGTCAGGATAGGCTCTCGGGGCGCCGGTGCCTCGCTGGGAGACTCCGGGGATTTAACAACTTAGTTCTGTGCTTACCCGAGCCTGAGGGGAAGGGGGACGGCCCCGTGCGCCCCTTACTGGGCCATACGTCCGACCAAGCCCTGTGCTGGGCAGCGTCCACTGCCCCCTAATTCTCTCCCGAGCCAAAGCAGGTGAACTGAGGCGTGGAGGCTTCATTTAAGGCACGTGTATCACCACCAGGGAGGGGTACAGTTGATGGCACCCCTAGTCACCCCGCTCTGGGTGTCCTTACATGAATGGCCGCTGCCCATTTCTCCTACCTCTGCAGAGGCTGGGAGCGCCGGCGTGTGACCCCCAGGGGAGGGTTTCAGCACGGCCTGAGCTCACACTTCCCCCGCCCTCGCCTCTCTCCCCGCAGGACTGGATCATCGCCCCCGAAGGCTATGCGGCCTACTACTGCGAGGGGGAGTGCGCCTTCCCTCTGAACTCCTACATGAACGCCACCAACCACGCCATTGTGCAGACGCTGGTGAGTGCCGCCTGCGCACCTCGGGGTGGGGGGCAGCAGGCCAGGGGCCCTGCCTTCTGGGCCTCTGAGTTGGGGCCAAAGTAGCCATCTGCCCAAGGCCACCTCTGAAGCTCCGTGGCCTGCCCCTGCCCCCGCACTTTTGCCTTCATGGGCATCTTCCTCCATAAAAAAAGATTTAAAATTATATTTTATGACTATTGGCAGAGACAGATATAATCTTAGACCCTGAAGTTCATTATTTCTTCTAAGTTTTACAGATATCAGAACAGTTCATGGGTGAAAGATCCTGTGGGCAGTGGTCACTGCCTAACAGAGAGTGGCCTTGCCAGCCTCTGCCTGGGGGACCCTCTGGTTGTCAGCACAGCTTGCTCCACTTCAATAGGCCTCTTCCACCCCACCCCCAATGTCTGGGCTTCAAGGGTCTCCCCCCAGAGCTCATGTCTTCTCTGCCTAAGCCTTGAACTTGGCGCCTTAGTCATTCAAGGGTATGTGTTGTGTTTATTGAGTGTCTACTGTGTATAGACCCTGTGGGGAGTTGGGGACACCGCAGAGAACGGCACAGATGTGGTCTCTGTCCTCAGGGCCTCATTTTTCAGGGAAGGAAACACTCAAGTAAACAAATGAGGAAATGTCAGAGAGATGGGAGTTCTAGGAAGACAGGACCACAGGACAAAGAAATGGCTTGGTGACCATGGGGCGCTTCCAGGCTGACCTCCCACGGGGTCACCGGAGGATTCAGTGTGATCTGAGGTTAGCTTGTGCCCAGCACTGGTGACACTCTGCCACCGCCACCCAGTGATGAGGGTGAGGGACTTTGCTTTTTAGCTTACAACCGGAGGTTTGAGGACCTTAGTTATTTACCTTAGCTACCTGCCACGAACATTATCTGGGCCTTTCTATTAACTGGTCACCCTTCCTGGTGTGAACATATCTAGTGAGTGAGTTCACTACCCAGAATCCTCCTCTGAACCCAAAGTTGTTTGCTGTGAGCTTTACACCCTGGTCGTTTAGCTGTCTCTCCCTCTCCCCTGTCCCTGCTCCGTGTGATGCATCTTGGAGGAAAAGATCAGATTCCTGTTATTGGGACCAGTCTTGACCTTGAAGGCAAGAGCTCTTTATTTAGCATTGCTTTCCCAGGGCCCCGAAAGTAAACCCAAACGCTCTATTTAGGATTAGAAATGGATGGTCCCTCCCTTCCTTGGCCTGGGCCTGGTTCCCTGTGTGCTGGTGTCCCCATAAGAGTCTGCTCTGAGGACCCTGAGCGGTGAAAGTTTGTCTCCCAAGCTGCCTGGGGGCAGGGGAGGGGAGCACGCTACTCTCCTGCGACCCCTGCCTTCATGGCCCGCTCGCCTATTTCAGTGGTGAGCTCCAGACCAGCACTGCCCAGTTATTGTGACATGAGGGTTCTGTGGTCATGGTTGAAAAGCAGGTGCATCTCTGCCCTCTGGGGAGTCCTAGTGAGACACAGATGGAAGAAATGAGAGTCATCCAGGATTTGCTTTAAAGTTCTTCAAGGATAAAGGAGATGAGGGAAGGTTTGGATTTGTAGGACTTGAAATTATCCATGGTAAAAAGTCTAAAACGTGTAGCTAAAACACGTGCAGCCCTCGTCAGAGGTCATAGACTGGAGGCTTGTGAGCGGGGGCTCGTCCTCAGACGACGTTCACTTGGCCCACCTGTGTGGTGTATTGGCGCCTGGAGTCTCTCATAAAGCCAGCACAGAACTAGCTCTCTGGCTGGTCATGAAGCCTCAGCACGGCTGGCTGCTCTGGCCCTGGTTGGCTGTGGTCAGCCGGCAGACTTCTCTCTTTAGTTCGCCCCAGTCCTCACTGTTCCCTGTTGCTTACACCTGAACTACTATGCTCACCAGGGCTTTCATGTCGCCCTTGCAAGCATTTGGGTTTGTTTTTCCTCTGACCACCGCCTCCTCATGCACGTCCAGCCGAGGGTCTCCCTGGTTCCTTTTTCCTCTTGTTTTTATTGCTCAAGAGGCAGGAGAGTCTAACATAGTGTAGACCTGCACTGGCCGATGTGGGAACCATTTTTACACGTGGCTCTTGCACAGATGAAATATGCCCTGCCAGAATCGAGATGTTTTGTAAATTTAAAAATCCACACTGGATTTTTATTAAATGTGTTCATTAATAAAATGATTAGTTATAAATTAATTTTATCTTATTTTATTAATCTTATTAAAGATTTTTTAATGTTAAGTATATATTCAAATGACAGTATTTTTGAAATATTGGTTTAAATACAGTCTTTAAGTGAACATCACCTGTTTCTTTGCTAGCTTTTTAAATGTGGCCCCTACACATGTGACTTGAGTTGTGTTTTTCTTAGGCCAAGTCTAGGCCAGCAGTCAGCAAAAGGACTGGAGAGTAAATATTTTCGACTTTAAGAGTTCTAAGGTCTCTGTTCAAATACTGGACCTGCCACCGCAGCACGAAAGGGGAGGTAGACAGTATGCAAGTGAACGGGCGTGGCTGTGTGCCCAGAAAATTTAATTCCTAAAAACACATGCTTGGTCGGGATTGCCTGCAGACCCGCCCTGGTCTGACCCAGCAGCATCCTTCCAGGCCATCTTTGTCCAGCAAGGACTTTTGGTGCTGTCTGGAGATAGTTCTGGTGTCACTGCGGGGGGCTTGGTGAATTCTGCAAGCTACAGCCCAGGCAAGCCGGTGGACACTCCGCCAGGCTAGGACACCCCAACACAGAGCACCCTCCGGGCCCCAGTATGTGATCTAGCTCCTACCTTAGCAGCTGTGAGTGGTGTGACCCTCTGTACCTGGGGACCCTTGGGTCTGTGAAATGGGGGTGACCCCAGAGCTGCATTAGTTACAGGTATGTAAGGTAGTTGGGTCTGGGGGTGCAGTGTGTGTTCCTCGTAGGGTTCCTCGTAGGAACAGGAGGCCAGAGGGACGTGACTCTCACCCCTGCCAACGTTTGCTGTGTGTCCAGGTTCACTTCATCAACCCGGACACAGTGCCCAAGCCCTGCTGCGCCCCGACGCAGCTCAACGCCATCTCCGTCCTCTACTTCGACGACAGCGCCAACGTCATCCTGAAGAAGTACAGGAACATGGTCGTGCGGGCCTGCGGCTGCCACTAGCCTCCTGGAAGCCGCACCCTTGGGGCCATGTTTTTCTGGATCCTTTGCCTCCCACCACCCTGCCTTTAAGGAGCCAGCAAACCCACCTCCTCTTGTGAGACTGTCCCTGTCCCCTCCCCGCCTGGAACGGTGTAGGAACATGAAGGAATTCGAGAGGCAATGCTTTGATCAGTTTCTCTCCGGCATCCTACGGACAAGATCCTACAAGCTGCAGCCAGCACAACCTAGCAGAACACATCGAGAGAAAACCGGCCCGGCCACGTCCTGGCCTGGATGTCTCAGCCCTGCGCAGACGCGTCCCTGGGTGGTGTTGAGCACCCCGAAGCCTGGCGCGCAGCTGGAGGCCGCGACGCAGAGGGGTGGGTGCGTCTGAGTCTGCACTCAAGGAAAGCTGACATGGAAGTTCCTGTACTAAATGTCACAATAAAACGAATGAATGAAAATGGTTAGGATGTGACAGATATATTTTCCTAAACAGTTTATCCCCATCTCTCGGTTCACTCTGATTTCATAAACAGAATCTGTGGCCGACGGAGGGGGTGGGTGCCCCCGCTCCATTCCATTCTGTTTTCCTTCTGAGGCTTGCACAGGCCTCGTGTTTATGGGCCACATCCGAGCTTCGGTCGGGAGGGGAGTGGGCACATTTCCGCTGGGCGGAGAGGATACGTTGTCCTCGATGGAAACACACCCACTGCCCAGCTGGCTGTGTGGGGCAGCGTTCAGAGTCACGTAGGCCCACGGGGCACATTTGCAGCTGGTTTTCCGCTCCCCTGTGGTAGGGTCAGTGGCCGTGGAGGAGGAAAGCATTGTGGACAGCACTGGCCGCTTGACCCTGGACTCTGACCCACGTGGCCCTATTTAAGGCGGCAAGGGCACCTAACTCCCAGTGGGGGGGGGTGCTGCCCTTCCTCTGAGTGCACCTCTCCTTTGTTCTTTGATACTAACCTTCTGAAGTCAGGGTTCTGACCCTCTGTGGCCACCTCTTTGTCTGCAGACCTCCCTGAGGACTCTGCAAATAGAACTGGCTCCTCAAAAGAAGGGAAAGTGGCCTGGGGGTGATCTGCTGGGTGCCTGGTGTGCTGGACATGAATATCAAATGGAAGTATCTAGAAGTCATTTCAAGAGTGACCTCCTCATCAAGTATCCTGGCCCATACACAGGTAGCATTTCTGACACGGCTGTCCTGTGAGCCTCCCTTGCCTCGGCCAGTGGGTCCCCTAAATGGCGCGCACCCATCTCCAGCTGTGACACAGACCTTGGGAAGGATGGGGCTGTCCAGAACAAAGAGGGGGTTTGGCAGGTGAGGCGCACACCCCTGGAATCCCATCTAGTGGGGAACTGTGTCTCCACCTTGATGTAGAGGCTTCCTGGAAACGTTTGCGCTTTTCTTTTTTCCTCTTCAGTAGCTTGGGCTGCAGCCTTCACTGACGAGACGCTGGGGAGAGTCCCCACTTCACATTTTGTTTTGTCTGTTGGCAGGTCTGGGGCTTTTGTGTGATTCTCTCTTGATGTGAGTTTTCTCACCACCAGTGCCCCAGCCCCTGGCCTCTGATCAGCGCCACTTGTAGATGGAACCATGTAAAGAAATGATTTATGTCCCTCTGAAGCTCTCTTTAGGCCCCTCAACCCCTTCCTCGGTCAAGACGAGCTCGCTTCCCTTCAACCTGTTTGTTTTCCTATTTAAGACTATTTATTAACGGTTGGACCCATGTACTTTCAGCTGTTGCATAGAGTAGCCCTCAGCGAAAAGTCTGTATAAATAGCCAAAATAAAAAGGGTTTTGACTTTGCAATAAAAGGAGACTTTGGCTCTTGTTCTTGGGCCTGTGTGCGTCTGGTGAGTGTGTGCAGCTCCCAGCTCCTCCACGTGGCAGTTCTGGGGGTCGGCTGAGAACTCCGTGCCTTGACCTCCGCCATTAGCATGCCCTTTATCATCCAGGCCCAGGGGAGACGGGGACGCTCGCTCGTCAGTTTTGGGTGCAGCTGTGTGGGGCCCCGGACAGGAGAGCTGGAACCGGACAGCAAATGTGAATTTGGTAGGCTTGACTACAAAGACCCTTGATTGAATTACAGTGCAGCTGTCAGCAGCTGTTTCAAAGAGGCAGGGGGTAAATTAGCTGTGTTTACTGCTAACATAGTTGAAAGATTTAGTCATCCCAATAAAATAGAGGCCTAAGAAAGAAAAAAAATGGCTGGGGGGGGGTACACCCTAAACTTTAAAGCCGCGCAGGCCCCAAAGCCGACATTGTCCAGTGCAAATTACTTCAGTGGTGGGGATGGGGCGGGGGTAGGGGGGTGTTGCTGCTGGCTCCCAGCTCCAGCCCTGGATGGCCACAGCAGACCTGGGGCAGGCAAACGGGGTCCTCTGCCTAACTGTACCCAAAACCTGGGGCAGCAATGGGGGTTTCTTTTGCTTTGAAGTGCACACCCAGGTCGCCAGAGAGAAGTTGCCCTCTGTGCCCATTCCTGCCAGGTCGCTCACTCCTCCCCTGCTGCCTCCAACGAAGCAGCCGCTCCTAACAAGTTCCAGCCTCTGTGATTTCCAAACCCTTCTGTCATTGTCCTGATGGGCCATTTAGCTTTTGTTCTATTTTCCAGGCCAAAGACCAGAGCAGCAAACCGGAGGGCCAGATGTGGCCTGCAGATGTATCCTATTCCCTCCGCATGATGTTTATAAAGTGAATTTATTGCCAACGTGTTTTTGAAAAATCAGAGAATTGGGGTGAAAAAAAATCTCCAAATCTGGATTCTCTTTGAGAAATAAGCAGATCTGACCCCTCTGGGCCCCATTACTGTATAGAAGCTCTTGGCTCCAACCAAAGAGCTGTTGTTGTCACAGTCTCCACTGCTCCCTATTGCCTCTCACATAGGTGCTGTTTTTGATACTGTAGATGGTTCCTTACTGGTACCATGTCTATTAAGAGCAGAGCAGTAAGACCTGGGCTGAAAGGGCCATGTGCTTCAAGAAGGAAACGCAAGAATAGGCTTTCTTTAGTTTGTCCCTGGCCCACTTCCCTGTCCGGATCCTGGTTGGGCCCCAGTAGCAAGGGTGTTTGTGGGTTCATCTTGGCCATCTTGGAGCACATTTTCACTGCCTCTTCTCCTGATGTGTTTACCTTTTTGCCTGACCTCAATGCTGGCCAAGCTGAGTGTGCTGAGAGAAGAAATTTACTCAAAAGTCCCTGGCTATTAATTGTTGGAATTGAAATTTGAACCCCAAAACTTGGGCTCCATGCCAGGCTCACCAGAATCAGAAACTCCTGGGGCTGCTCATGAAATGCAAGGATCCCGGGTCCCCCTTGGAAGCCCTCTGTCTTTCCCCAGGGCCAAATGTCAGTTCCTGAATTCTGCTCAATCTCTGGGCTAAGCTCAGCCCTATGGGCTGCCTCCTGTTTCTGAGCTGTTTGAAGGCCTGCACTGGTGACTGTGGCGCTGGGTTCTTAGCTGCCCCGGGGCTGGGTAATGGCTCCCCTCGGCCTCCAGGAGAGCTTGGGTGACCTACTGGTTCACCTCTTCAGGCTTCCTTCCGAGCAGAGGCCGGCCTGCTGGTCCACGTCTCATTCTTCAGGCCAGCTGGTCAACAAACTTGGCCTCTGGGCCCAGCAGGGGCACACCTGCTATCGACCTCCCCTCCTCCAGGCTGTGCTGGGACAGGTTTGCTGGTCGACCCCCAGACTCAAACTTGAGCCAGGATCAGCATACTGGTCAACCTACCTGGGCTCCAGGATGAGCCAAGGGAATCTACTGGTTGACCTCCCTGGCCTCCAGGCTGAGCCCCAGACTCCAGGCGGAGCTGGGATCAGGAAGCTGGTCAGCCTACACAGGCTCCAGGATGAGCCTGGGAAAGCTACTGGTCGACCTCTCTGGCCTCCAGACTGAGCCAGGGCCGGCCTGCTGGTCGACCCCCAGACTCCAGGCCAAGCTGGGATCAGCCTGCTAGTTGACCACCCTGGGCTCCAGGATGAGCCGAGGAAGACTCCTAGTTGACCTCCCCAGCTTCCAGGCTGAGACGGGGCCGCCTGCTTGTCCACCTCCCTGGTCTCTAGGCTGAGCCAGGGCCGGCCTGCTGGTAGACCTCCCAGCCTCCAGACCAAGCCAGGGCTGTACTGCTGATGGACCTCCATAGCTACCAGGTTGACTTGGAGCCGGCCTGCTGGTCGACCTCCCCATCCTCCAGGCTGAGCTGGGGCTGGCTTGGTGGTCAACCTTCCAGCCACCAGACTGAGCCTTGCCGGCCTATAGGTCCACCCCCTCAGTTTCCAGGTCAAACTGTGGCAGGCCTGCTGCTCAACATCCCCGGCTTCCTGGCTGAGCCGAGACATGCCTCCTGCTGGACCTACCTGGCCTCCAATCCGAGCTGGGCCCAGACTGCTGGTCGACCTTCCCAGCCACTAGGCTCATCCAGTGCTGGCATACATGTTGACCCTCTCAGTTTCCAGGCAGAGCTAGGGCCAGCCTGCTGGTCAACTTCCCAGCCTTCTGGCTGAGCTGGGGTAGGCCTGCTGGTCGACCCCCTCAGCCTCCAGGAGAGTTTTGGTGGCTGCCTTAAGGTTCACCTCCTGAGGCTTCATTCCAAGTTGGGGCCTACCTGCTGGTCAACCCTCTCCGCCCCCAGGCTGTGCTAGGGCCACCCTGCTCTTTGACCCCCTTAACCCCCCAGGCTGAGCTATGGCCAGCCTGCTGGTCAACTACCTCAGTTGTCAAGCATGGGTCACTCTCAGCCCCTATAAGCCATTTTCAGGTCCTTTCCACTCAGTCCTCTCCAACATAGCAATATAATCCTAACCCTTCAAAGCCAGGGGGAGATTCTCTGGCTAATGTTAAGGATTTACTTGATTAGGTAAGGCCACCCAGAATGATCTCCTTTTGATTAACTCAACATCAATTGATTAGGGGCCTTAATTACATCAGCAAAATACCTTCATCTTTGGGGGTGATGATCAAATATTGGGCAGAAATCTTGGAAACCATCTCGTCATTCTGCTGTAACACACACCTTGGGTCATAGAAAGTACTGGAGATACATGAAAGCACCTAGCATAGAGTAGACGCACAGAGTACCGCAGAACACAGGGGCGCCCCCACCAGAATCCCTCCGCCTCACCAAAAGTTTTGAACAATTGAGTTGTGGCCCTCATGTGCCTGCAATCACAAAGCCCAGAGACTTTGTGAAATCATTCACCCACCCAGCTCTCATGCAACCTGGGAATGACAACAGAAGGGCCCTTCTGGAACTTTGCAAACACCAGTACCAGCACCTCGTTCTTCCTCTGGGCGGGACCCTCTCAGAGGCAGGAAAGTGCTTTTACATTTGACCTCACTGCATCTTAGGATGAGCCCAAGCTGCATACTCCAACTGCCTTCCCTCTTTAAGGCACATGGGGATGAAAAAGCACATTAGAGCTCCCTGCGTGTTAGCACGCTGCACCCTGCACAACTCCAGGGAGTGCTGTTCACCTAAGTGTCAATGACTATGGCACTTTCTGCGGGTGGAGGGAGCAATGGAAGACAGTCCTGCCCCCGCCCTAGGGCAGGGATATCTGCTTGTAGGACAGTCCTCTCTCACGGGACCCAGCCCCCCACCCAGGTTCTGGAGGCGCTGGGCCCTGCCAAGGACACGTCCAAGAACTTCTTGCAAACATTTTTCCCCTTCGCTTGTGGATCAATTCCTCCTGGCTCAGACCCTTTAGGACTCTGGCACCAGCCTCTTTTGGTCTTAGATTTGAGGAATTAAAAATAGAAGAGGAAAAACACAGAACTCTCCAAAGCCTTTGGAGTTGCGACAGCTGTTTGGACTGAGGCGCAGTGCACCTGGGCCTGGAGAGCTAGGGCTCCTCCACCAGCCTTCCACCCCCTTCCCGAGGTTTCTAGGGGCTGAGAGGGGCCATGGGGGCCAGGGTCTCAAGCCTCCTTCCACAGGACACCAGGGACAGAGCGGGCCCTTCTTTAAGTGCTTGGGTGCATGAACACAAATGTGGCTGTGGGAGCTGTGTTCCCAAATCAGCACCAGGACCAGGGCTCGAGGCAGGAGGCACTGTGGCTGGGCCAGGCCGGCTCTGCAGGTGTGTGGCCTGGGCAGCTGCCCGGGCTCCGTGCTCAGAATGACCCCGAGTTGAGTTGAATGTGCTCTGTTGACGTCTTGAAATCCTTAATGCCTTTGGAACAAGTTCTCATTTTGCACTGGGCCCCGCAGATGCTGTAGCAGGTCCTGTGCCAAGAGGACAGAATGAGGATTTTGGCACCAGACCCAGGGTGCAGCTCAGACCACCACCTTTGTGCATCAGCAAACGTGTTGTGGGCACCTCCGTGCATGGACAGTGCTCTGGGCTCCAGGGTGCCCTGTGCACAAAGGGGAGGGGACCCCTCTCTGGACAGCCCACCCAGGGCAGAGCAAGCAGGCGAGCCAAGAACAGTCAGGGAAAGGGGCCGGCCACGTGCTGTGTCTGGTGCAGGGTGAGAGCTGGCACAGGCCACAGAAGCACCCAAATCAGTGGAGGAGTTTGAAGGAAGCAACGTGACAATGGTGTGCAAGGCAGGAGCCCCGCGTGACGCCCCAGCTCATTAAAGCAGCCCGCGCGGATCCTCTGTGGCTCCAGGGGTCTCAGTTTGGCTGCTTCCGCAGGCTCATGGGAGCAGGGCCCACCTCGCCCCGAACTCAGCCGTGGCCTCCTCACTGTCTTTAAGAGCAACAGCGGCTTCCTCAACGCCCTCCCATGTCGCGACCCTCCTGCGTGCCCCTTGCAGGGATCCGTGTGAGGACGCTGGGCTCGCCCACGCCCAGGCTGCTCTCCCTTCGCCACGTCCTTCACCACAGGCGCAGAGTTATCTTGGCAGGTGGGTTACAATCAAAGAGGAGTATTTGGTCTCTGTTCCCGTTCCTGGCATGGAAACTCTAAGCCCTTCGGAGGTTGCTGAGTGACGGGAAGGAGCTTCAGGGGAGCCTTTCATAACTAGCTCCTGTCGGATGCTGGGCTGGAGGGTCGGAACGTTCATCCCAAACCCTGCAGCTGTTTTCTCCGCCTTTCCTAGGAAAAGGACGTGGATGGGGACAGTTAGGGAGGATGCCTCGAACCTTTGATGGTTTTGTCCCAAACGCACATCATTCCTTAAAGCCGTAAGCAAGCGGCCAAGTAACACTAAATAAGAAAAGTGTGTGTGAGCTCTGGAGCAGGGGTGGGGGGTGGGAGGGCCAGTGGGGTGAAGGTTCTAGCCCCCCCTTGGCCTTGACCCTCGATGGTGCGTATCCAATGTAAGTTACAGAAATGCAAAATAAAGCAGTCCCAACGGCTACAGCCAGCAGGCCGCCCTCCGTGACGGAATCCAGGCTGGGCCTCTGTCTCGGGAGGTTCCAGCAGCACATACGTTCCATCGGCCGGGAGAGCGAGCACCCCGACCCCACCTTGGCTGGCGGGTGGGCAGCCCAGAGGTGCGGAAGGGCATGGAAATCGATGCTCTGAGAAACGTCCTCCTTTCCCAGCAGCCTTGGGGAGGGGAATTTTCCAGCTCAGTGGGCTCTCCCGCCCCCAAACACGCACTGGTCTCTGTTCGACCCCGGCCGAGTGTGTCATTGAGGGAAGGGATGACAGATGACCTGGGCGCCGCCCGTCCTGTCCTGAGTGGTCCCTAAAATAATACCATTAGCGGGGCTGAGCGGAGGCTCCTTATCTTTGGAGGGTCTGCAGATAACGCCGCGCGGGTCCCGGGGAAACCCTGGGCCAAGCGCCGGCGGTGGCCGCAGCTCCGTGCATCGGTGACGACAAGGCTCTCCGCTTCCCGGCCGGCCTGCTGACACTCCAAGGGGCATAAACAGACGCAGGGTCACTGCCGGACCTTGCAGGGGTGACGGGGGCGGCAGCAGTGGAGCTGGCACGCCTGGTCCACGATGCCCACGGAGAGCCCCGTGTGTGTCGAGAACTGCCCCGGCTTCTGCCCAGGTGTCCCCGGCCAGAGTGGGCCACCGAGCGGACTCACCCTGAGCAGCTTTCCTCCCAGGCTGGCCCGGCTGTGACCCCCGTCCCAGCCGTTGGTTATGGGGTGCTCTCCTTTGTCAAGGTGATTAGGTGTTGCCGTCGGACACGCCTTTGGTTAACTTGATCATGTCTGAGTCTGGATTTGGAAACGAAGAACAGCACACAGGCACACAGCTGCCTTCTCCTGGGTGTAAAGCTCCATGGAGATGTGTTGTACTTAGCGTCTGGGTATTTTCCCCCTGCCAGACAGAAATCCTGTCCGAGGCTCACAGACCCCTTCCAGTCCCGCCTTATCATCTGCGTGCACCTTGACCTGGGCTCACACCCGGCTCCATCCCTTGCCAGCTGTGTGGCCTGGGGCCAGTGACTCCACCTCTCTGTGTCCTGGTTCTCTCCTCTGGAAAATGGGATTTATAATAGGAGTGTTGTGAGGATTAACACAGTGAAGAGCTTGACTCAATGGAAGGGTGGTTCAAGTAAACACAATCAAGAATCATCATAATCACCATCACCACCAATGTCATCACCGTTGCTATCAACCATCACTGTCACCACCACCACCACCACCACCGTCATCCCCAATACCGTGAACCTCCAGCACCAGCACCTCCACTTCCACCAGCACCAGCACCTCCACGATCATCACTGTCGTCTTCCCTCTGCCTGTTTTTCTCATACACGTCAAGCTGTCAAGCGGCTTTTGGGCAGGGAGGTGGGAGGATGTTGGGTAGAAGCAAAGGGCCACATTGGAGAACATAGTCTATGGGGTCAATTTGAGGGGTGGTGACCTCACCACAGCCCACAGAGACCCCTTGCTGCTGGGCAGAGACCTAGAAACTTCCCGTCTCTTTCTTTGAAAGTGTGCAGGATCCTCTTTACCTCTGGTCTTCTGAGAATGCTTAATGCTATGATAATCTCCCCTCCGGCCTACCTATTCTATCTCGCTGAAACTCCTACTTGTTGGAAGTGGAGTTCCAAGATGGAACCCCTAACTTCCTTATCTCTTACTTCTAGTTTTCCATGTCCGGGTTTTTATGCCAAGTTTGGGGATATTTCTGCACTTTTATCTCTGTTATTCTGTTGACTCTCATTATAGCTTAAAAAACTCGCTTCTCTGAAGGTTCTTTTTATAAAAATAGCGTTTTCCTCTTGTCTCACGAATTCCGTGTTTTATCTCTGGGAGAACATTAATCGTGGTTTTCGTTTCTTAGTCGTGGGTCTCTCTGCGTTGCCTGTTTCCTGCGTCCCGTGAATTTCTGCCTGTGTGTTCTGGTTTTGATGCGGAGCCTTTCCTTGTATGGCAGAAGGGCAAGGCCCACCGTTTCTGCAAGGACTTGCACTTGAGGGTCGTTTTCACAGTAGAGCCGCCCCGCCCTTCTCTGCATGGTGCTTTGGAGTGTCTGGGGTGTAACCTCTATGCAAAGTAGACGCCCCCCCACCCCAGGGCAGGGAGAGAATCGGGACTGGAGCTTTCTGGGCCTCCTGTCATCGCCCCTGAGAGGTCAGCTTTCTGTGGGGTTACGTGGGTTGTCCTCCTGGCTTGCTCTGCACCTGCTGAAATTTTGTGGGTGTTCTTCATCTGCTCTTGTTCCCTCTTTTCTTGTTATTCTTTATGCTTACACCTATATTTTAAAAATCTTTTTAGACAGGTCTAAAGAGCAAAGAAAAGCTTCCATGTCCAATCCCCTAGTTCACCAGGAACGGCGGGCTGATCCTCCTGCTTTGCCTAAGACTTTCTTGGTTTTAGAAGTGAATTTCCTATGTCCCAGGAAACCCCGGGGTCTGGGGAGAGCTACCCCGCTTGCTCCTGAGGCTTGTCGCCCTGTCAGCTGTCTAAACCCACGAGTTCCTGTGCCCTGGACGGAGGCCCAGCTCCTCCGGGGAGCAAGTGCTCAGAGCCTCAGAGAATGACGGGACCCGACCACTCAGATCACAGACACTCACGGGTGTCTGGAAAAGTCCCTGTATTTCTGGAAACCCCAAAGATAAACGCCTGCATGACTATCATTACTGAAATTGCTGGCTGCGGCACAGACGTGCAAGCCCAATGGCCTCCTGGCGGCACAGTCCCCGCCCGCACAACCTCTGTAATTATAAGAAAGCATTTCAAATTGTTCCAGTCCAAACAAGACCTGGAAGCTCAGAGCAGGCTGGTCATTAGGGCTGGAGATTAACGGCTGCCATGGAAGCGCCTGGAAGGACCTACTCCGGGCCAAGGGCGGCCTGGGGTGGGGGACGTTCTCACTGGCTCTGCTGCAGCAGCATTTGTAGCGGGGGGGTGGTGTTAGCAGGACTCCTGTGACGCCCCTCGTCTGGCCGAGGCTGTGGGCTCACAGGAGGCGCCTTTCAGTTGGTTGATGCTTCTCCCCTCGACCCGCTCCGTCTGCACGTGGACGAACTGCCACTTCAAATCAATGCTGCTGAGTTGGGCTGAGCAGTCACTCGCACATCAGGATAATTGAATTTACACAGAGAGGGAGGCGGCCGGAGGAACAGAGTCGCTGGGCGGCAGGTGGGAGCCTGGAACCCTCTGTTCACACCCTGATGGCGGAACCCCTTGAGCTAAGTCCCAAGGTGTGTTATTTGGCCTCCCTGAGCCTCAGTTTCCTTATCTGCGAGGCGACTATAATTATCACCCTGCCTCACGGAGCTGTTGTGATGACAAGAGAAGCAAACATCACACGCCAGCATGGGGCGGTGATGCGTGTAGCAGGTGGGGTCACTGTTGTCCTTGCTGTGACTATCATCACCAGCCTTGTTTGCCATTCTTTGGGGACCCACCTGACTCCGCCGGCAGAAATCACCCCCTCGCCCACCATGGAAGACACAGGAACAGCAGACCTTCAGCCACCCCTCAGCTAAGTGAAGCCCTCAGCTAAGTGAGGCCACAGTCCTGCTTCCCCCATAACCCCGCTCCACCCCCCAGAGAGCAAGCAAGTGGACATGGCCAGCCAAGCTCCCAGAGCACCCACACTGCCTCCGTCGCTTGGGAAGTGCTCCCAGCTGACGGGGGCCAGTCCTGCTTTGTGGGGCTTGACCTCGGAGGAGAGCTGGGCCAGCCATTACAGCAGGAGTCCAGCATCCTGGGTCAGGGACCAAGCAGGCCAGCGATGCGGGTGTGATGCCTGGAGGTGCGGCCACCATATTGCAAGCGTGAGGTGATAAACATGCTGGTTAGGGGAGCGGTAGGGAGGCAGAGGGTCAGAGACAAACACAGTAACATGGGGAGGGGGAGAGGAAGGGAGCAGGGAGGAGTGGAGCTGACCCTACAGGAGCCACTACAACTTTCTCTGAAGGCTGGCCGCCCTGGGAGGCCCCCGGCCATCTGGGTACCATGGAGTCCTCTGTCATCTGCAGCCAGAATCAAGGTCGGAAGCCTCTTCACCCTCCTGCCAGGCTGGAAAGCTGTCCCTGCTCCAGGGTGGCCTGGAGGGTCCACACCAGTCTCCCCCCAGGGCGCTCCCTGATCTGTTTCTGCTTTGGGAGCAGGATGAGGGAGCAGCAGGAAGGGGGATTCCTCCCGGTGGGCGTGTTTATTCGGGGCCTCTCCCTGGAGGATTTGGCATCAGATGTGTTTTTCCTAAAGAGGAAGAATAAACAGAATCAGCCCTGCAGGAAGTGGTGTGGGTCTGGCACACAGGCAGCCGGGGCTGGCGTGTGTGAGTGCACGTGTGTGCTTGTGCACATTGTGTGGGTGTGAATGTGGGCACACGTGCATGGGCAGGGGCTCTGAGCTGAGGTGGTCATCACAGGCATCCCCAAGCATGCGGGGATTCACAGAAAATCGAGGCCGACCTGCCCCACGAACCGCCCCCACACAGGGCACGACTGGACGTTTCATCCAGGGCAGACTTGTGCAACCCTCACCCCGATCACTTCTAGAACATTCCCACCACTCCAGAAAGAAGCCTCCTACTTATTGGCAGTCACTCCCCATTCCCACCCACCCCACACCCAGACCTTAAAAGCACTCATCTGCTTTCTGGCCTTTGGGTTTCTCGATTTAGACTTTTTCTGGAAGCAGATGCGGCCTGACTGGGCATCAGCAAGTGTCAGAACAGGGTCTGAACTGAAGTCTGACCTGCAGCCGGAAGAGCCGGTGCCTTGGCCGCAGCCCACGTCACTGCTGTCTCCTCCTGAGGTGACCCTGAGACTTACAGTGCGTCCGAGGGCAGGGTGTGGGCCCTCGGGGTCAGCAAGGTGTTCAGAGCGGTGACCACAAGTGGCTGTGGCAGCCCCGGGTTGCTCCTTGGGGTGCTTCATCCTAGAGCCCCCAAACAGCTTGCTGTTGTGCTACACACATTGGACCCCCCCACCCCAGCAAGGTAGGTGCTGCCATTCCCATTTTATAGATGGAGAAAACAAGGTCCAGAGAGGCTAATAACTAATGTAAGGCTTAATCCTATTGATTGACTAACTGGGATTTGAATCCGGGTCCTCTGAATCCAGGCTGCTGCTGGCAATGGGGGTGCTGCGATCCTGCCGGGCCTCGCTGACCAGCCAGCCGGGGTTCTCAGCACCATCCCGAAGCAGGGGCTGCTCGTCCCAGCTGCCCGCCTCGCCAGCCCGGGCTCTATGCCCATTCAGGGTGGTGGCTCTGTGGGGCTTGGGTTTTTATCATGTGCTGTACACTTCTGGGGTCCCCTCCTGCTGCAGCCTGGGCTCCTGACACTTTGAGGTGCTTTCCTGCTTCCCGTCTTGTATCTGCACACGGCGGGGTGGGCATCTGAGCCTGTCCCCCCCCGGGTCCCTCGGCAGCTTCTCCGCAGCTGCTCAGGAGCCGGACACCTTCCAGAGTCTACCTCCCTGCTTGGGTCGCTGCACTGGGAGGGAGTCAGGGCCCCGACGTGGCTCCCAGGAGACATGGGAAGGCCAGCTCTCCACGCACACTATGAAAGAAGCTGAAAACTTCAGCTTGGCAAAGAGTGATGCTTTGAGGCCCGGAGTGGCCCTGCCTTGCCCCAGGACCGCCCCGGCAGCCCCCAGTCCAGCATCTAAGGGGCGGCCTCGCACAGCAGCCCGTCAGCACCTGCTCCAACTGCTTTGAAAACACCTTGCAAAAAGTGGTGCCCAGAGCTGGGATTTGAAATCTAGGCCTATGCATGTGAGACTGAAGCCCGTCACCCAGCTAATCGGGGTGAAAGTCCAGAAGCTACTCACACGGGAATGGAGAGCCAGGGAGAAGCGTGTCCCCGGCCCCTGCGCTGCCAGAGATGCGATCACAGGTGTTGGGGGGCTGAAGTCCATAGTCAAGAGCCTCCCTGGCCAGGCAGTGGATTGGGGCCACACCAGCCACTTCCCTGCTGTCCAGCAAGTCAGCTCACAGAGCTGAGCCTCAGTTTCCTCATCTACAAAATGGGAGGGGGAAACAGCGGTTTTCCTGAGACTCAGATGAAGGGGAGCGGCTGCTGCGGCTCTGGGTAGCCGTCCCTGCTGGCCAGGACTCAGCGCCGCAGGGTCACAGCAGCTTCCTGGATACTCAGCTCGGCCGGCCTCACAGTCCGCAGCCCCTGGCCACTGAGGGACAGTCCTGGCGCCCAGGAGTAGCGCGGTGAAACCCCGCTCGCTCGGCCCGCATGCTGGGTCACCGACGCCTTCACAGACGGTAAACCCGCCAAAGTCAGAGCCACTTAACGCAGGGGCCACAAATTGTGTTTTTTTATATCCTTGATTTTAAAGGATATAAATCAGCTTTGTGCTACAATGAACACGTTTCCTTTATGATAAACAAGAGTGAAACCAAGACCAGATAAAGGTTAAGATAAGTAAAAACGGGCTGGGGGTCACAGGGCGCAGCTGCAGTTTCTCTAGGGCCTGTTCTCACAGCTCTGGTTTTGAGGCCCAGATTTATACCCCAGATACACATCAAAACCTAACTATCTACCCAAGGAGTTAGGCCTGAGCCAAAGCAATGCCTGGGGTGCGTGACACATGCCTGGCATCTTCCAATTCCTGAAAGGAAGGAAGGGGGAGGCCCCGCACAGTTCTAGAACCTTCCCACTCACACCATCAAGCTGACAATCCCACATTTCCCAGGGCCCTCCTGAGTGGTCACCCGACCCCTGGAGACCAGAGCCACATCAGATGGAACCTCCCAAAGTAATGACCACCAAGTGACTAGGTTTTCCCAAACTCCAGTCATCCACCTTCATGGTTTCAGTTGTGTCCATGAAATAAGCACATCACTGCTCAATGGTTTAAATAAAACAACTTCACTACCTTCTCTTTGCTCCTCACTACAGTACCCTTGTAGGTGCGACTTAGCCAACTGCCCCTAAATTGTGTTTGACGTGCTCGTTATATTTTTTCCAGTATGGTGACAAGCTGATACAGACAGAAAGCTGCCTGTGTCCTGCCTAGAGCCACGCCGCATGCCACCAGGGGTGTCCAGAAAAGCACCTGAGGAACATCAAAAAGGGAAAACTCACGGGTGAAAATCCTCTGCAGTGCAAAACAAAATAATACAAACATAAGATATGACTTTGATGAATCTGAACCAATACTAGACCATAGAGCTGTAACAGGGTGGTCCCCAGGAAAGGGGGAGGTTCCAGGTTCCCTGCCCCACCCAAGGGAGGGTGGAGCTGAGCAGGGAGAGGAGAAGAGGCAGAAGAGACTGAGGAAGGAGGAAGCAGGATGGAGCCAGGAGCCCTGGAGGAGGCGCATGGAGCCTAGAGACACGTGAAGAAACTGCGCTTGTCTTTTGGTCGTGGACTGGGTGACACAGATGTGGGTGAGACCCGTGGGGAGGTGACAATGGCAGCTTTTATCTTGATGTTGATTTTGCTCTTTTCCTTCCGGGCTTGTCCGGTTGTTTCTGACCCTTTGCTGTGGGTCCCCACTGGAAGGTGCTTTAGACTTGGGGCAGGCTTTGGGGCCTTGCTCTGGGCCGATCCAGTATGACTGGAGTTTCACCCACGAGGGCACGGGTCCCTTTGGGTGCTCGATTTAGAAACTAGATTCTTTGCCTTTCCTGTCTTGTTTCCTAACTGTATTAAAGTTCCTTCCCAGGGCCTCCCTGGTGGCGCAGGGGTTAAGGCAAAACCTACGAAGAAATCCGCAGCCACTGCAGCACAAGTTCGATTCCCAGCCGGCCAGGGAGAAACCCACATGGTGGGACAGATCTCTCCTGTCTCGCCCGCTGCTCCCCTTATTATAGGACAGGGAGAGGGGCAGCCCAAACCTGGGGACCACCCTGTTACACCCTCAGCAGTGTACTTTGGTCCGTCTGCCTGTTCTATTCCCCACTCTGTCTCTGGTGAATCCTCTCACCCCCCTGTGCATCTCTGGCCTGTACCCCAATTCTTGTATAAAAATAAATGTTAAAAAAAATAAAAAAATAAAGTTCCTTCCCATTAAAGTCTCATGTTTTGTGTTGCTGCGGCGGATGGCAGAACCCATTTAGAATAGGCAGGTTTGCGGGGTTTGGGCTGCCCCTCTCCCTGCCCTGTAACAGATTGGACAGAAAGCGCCACTTCTGAAATGCAACGTGTTGCCTCCTGGCCCGCACTAAGGTCCCATGGGGGCCCCTCCTCCTGCCTCTGGGACCCCCACGTAGGGGGTCCTCTCTAGTGCTTCCCGACTCCTGCAGAAAGCCCCTCATGTTCTGGGCGGGCACAACACACATGATGAATTGGAGAAACAAAAGGGCGCTCCAAGAAGCCCTCAGGTCAGAGCGGGAAGGAGGCGTGACAGGCGAGGGTGCTTGTGGAAGAGGCAGGGCCCTCTGGGGGTGCGCTCAGGGCTTCTTCATCTTCCCCTTCTGCCCCTCAGACATAGCTTTTTCTAAACTTCCCCAGTCTTGCTAAAATTCTAACCACCAGCTCTGAGAAGCAGGGAATACTGTTGTAAAAACATACAACATTTAGAGCGCACCCACCTCTCCGTGGTGGCCTTGGCAGCCATGTTTGCACTGCGAGCCTCCCTGGATCGCCACAGGCGATTGGCTCCGGAGCAACACGTGACCCCCAGTGGGCCAATCAGAGAGGCTCTCTCTGTGGAATTTGAACGGAGAGACCCAGAGCCTCCAGGATGGGGTGAACTTCTCCCTGTTCTTCAGATCTTCTCCTGGCTGTGTCCCTGGAGCCCAAAGGCACCCCTGAGTCTTTGCTGAATGGACGTAGAAGAGTGCAAGTCCACAGACACCCTGCTGGGACCTGGCTTCTCAGGCTCAGGGAATTTCGACTTGGTTGGAAGTTAGAATTACCCGGTGTCCAGCCAGGTCCCAGAGGCTCCCAAGCACCCCAGTAATCTCAGCGCCCCCAGGTGGGGCTCATGTGCGACCAGCACAGGTCCAGCTCCCTTTCATGTTCTACTGTTACGGAGCAGCCGGACATCCTTCTCCCCCTAACACTACCAGATGCCTTAGGTTCCTTCCCACAGAGTGACCCCCTTTCTGAGAAAGTTCCAGAAGCCATCTTGCACCTGCCTCCCCCGGTGATCAGGTCAGTTTTTGCCTATTTGCTTGTAAACCGAGTAATGACGGTGGTTGTTCATATTTGATGAGCCTTGGAGCAGGGATGAGATTAGGGTGAGGGTGGAAAATATAACGGGGCACCAAAAACTCGGTTGTCCAGATAAATTGCATCCCTCCCCATTCACTCCCTCATCCAGCCAGCCAGCCAGCCAGCCATCCAAACATCCATCCATCCATCCATCCATCCATCCATCCATCCATCCATCCATGTTTTTAGAGATCTAATTGGCTTTATTAAATAATTCACGAATCAGGCAGCATCCGGTCTAGCTTGTAGAAAGACATTGTCAATATAGTATTTTAATGCAATGTTTTCAAAAATCAAAAATTATGGAAAAATATCCATGGTTAGAAAACCAAATACTTTACAAAGAGCCCATCCTTGTGCAGCCAAAGGCAAAGGAACAAATCATCATCTGGATCTGTCTTTACTCATCTTGATCCTGTGGCCTTAGCAGCACCCCAGCCTCCATCTTAAACTCTTTGTTTGACCTTATTCTAGCTGTAGCCAAGTGGTGCTGGCCCTGGGCTGCGTTTCACACACCCCCCCCCCACCCCAGGTGCCTGGACAACTCCAGTAGCCTGTACCTGGTCTCCCTGCCCTAGTGGACCCCATAGTCTGTTCTCCAGCCAGAGCCAGAAAGATTTTTTTCAGTGAAAACCAAATCTCATCAACTTTCCCATTCAGACCCCACTAATGGAACCTTCACACTCAGCAATAGGACTTATGGTTTCCAGCACCTGACACATTGTGGTCCCATTTTTCCAGCTGCTTCTTCCTCCACTCTGCTGCCTCCTGTGGTTTCCTTACTGGAACACCCCTCCCCCCTCAGGGCCTTTGCACTGACTTTGACCTCTACTAGAACATTCTACCCTGGGCTTTTCCTGCTTCATTCCATCTTCACTTCACTCCTCAGCGAGACCTCCCCTTGGTCCCATCGGGACACGTGCCTTCTGGTTTATTCTCAACATGATATCGTCATGACCTGGACTCTTCTGATTTGTAAATCTGTTTGTTTCATGATGGGTAAAAGTTTTTCTATTCCAGAAGGGAAGATCCATGAGGAAAGGGACCTGTTCTGTTCCCCACAAGGGAGCCTGTTCTGGAGCCCTTGTGCCCAGCCCAGATTCTACGTATTTTCAGAGTGAAGGCGTGAGGTCCATCTTTGCGATGAAGAAACTGATCCCTAACGAACCCGAAAGTTCAGAAGGAGTTCCTGGTGAACTCTAACTGGTGACCTCTCTCCTCGCACCCCTTGTTACCAGTCGATCATTGGGATTTTCTATCTGAAGATTCCTGACCCCCATCATTTCAGCTCCCGCACCCTTAAATCTGGCTCTGATTACGAGCCGTTGCCACCCACCCGCAGACTAACAAACGTGGAACAGCTGTGCCAGGAAATCGCCTCCAACTCGACCCTGATGCGGCAAGGGTGTCTTTAGTTAACGTAAATAGGCTTTTAACATTCATTTTTTTCTCTTTGTGCAAAATACCTATCATTAATTCTGACTTGTGAGATCAAACGGTTAACAACGTGTTGATCCTCGCTTACTTTCAAGTGATGTATTGTATCGTTTAGGAGAGTTATTGGGGGGGGGGGTGGTACTTTCTTTGACAAACACATCCAAGAGCGGCTGACCAGCGTCCCGGGGAAGGAAGTAATTAACAGCTCCGCTCCGGGGCTCTGAGCGGCCTTGCATCATTCCTCCGCCTTCTCCCGAACACTGCCTTTTTCTTTTGCATTCTGTTTGTTTGGTTTTTTCCCCCAACCAAAGGAAATGAGCTTCTCCAATCCATCACTCCACAGCATCAGAGGGAGATGGGAATAAGCAGACTTCCCTGAGCACCATGTGCGTTTCCCCTCCCTCCTGGGGGACAGGAGCTCTGCAGGGTTGTTTTGTGAATGGACTTTCTCCTGTTGGGCACCTTTCTCTCTCCCCAGGGAGGACCCCATAGCTTTTCAGTGCTTTGTACCCCAAATACCAACAGTTTCAAAACAAGAGCACATACTCAAAACCTCCAGGGTCCAGATGAGCATGTAAGTCAGTGACATCCACTGGGTATAAGACACGAGGGAGGCATGAGGACTGTGGCAAAATGCTGAGCCCGTGCCAGCCAGAAGGGGCCGCCACTGCCCAGCGCACACAATAGGCATTTGGGGACCATTTTTCAAGAGCCTGAAAATTGTGTGTGTGCGTGTGTGTGTGCGTGTGTGTGTGTGAGAGAGAGACAGACAGACAGACAGACAGAAACAAGAGAGAGAGAAAGCGAGAGAAGACTATAAAAATACAACATGGGCCAAGCAAAAATAAAGATTTAAAGGTACCACATTTGGGGGCCTCCCTGGTGGCGCAAGGGGTTAGGATGCAACCTATGAAGCTGTCCGCAGTCACTGCAGCACGAGTTCAGTCCCCAGCCAGGGAGCTACCCACATGGCACGGCAGACCTCTCCTGACTCGCCTGCTGCTCCCCTCAGCAGTGTATTTCAGTCATCCTGCCTGCTCTGGAACAGGGCTTCTCAGCCTCTGCATGATGGTACCACGTTTCAAACCCTGCTTTCTGACTGAGCTTCTCGAACTAGAGTTTGTTTGGTCTCAGGGCACAAATCAGTGGGTGGAGGAATGAGACATGCCTCAGCGGAGATGAGGTACGGCCCCTAGGAAGTTCAGTTTTATTAGAAGTTTTTCTCGGGGGTGGGGTAGATTTTGTGGAGTTGCACTGATAGACAATCAAGGTTTTTTTAAAAAATATTAAAGGCTTTTTTTATATTAAACAAAGATACAGTCTACAGCAGAGCATAAGAAACAAATCTTCCTAAAAACCAGGACTGGAAAGGAATTTCACTTTTGCTGCAGGAAGATCTGGCGAGCTCCCTTCTGCTGGGAGCATTTTGGTGGAAATGTTAAGGAACTCCAGGGGCTTGGTCCTCGGCGTGGGGAGTGCGTACAATTGCACCTACCTGACGGGGTCGTTTTTTGAGGAACCAACAAGAAAACTTGACAAGTTTCTGACCTGCCCAACGCATCCCCCTTTCTTCCAGCCCCCTCCTGTCTGCCCTGTGGGCGAAGGGGATCCCCTTTCTTCAGTGACCCTGTGCTCCTGAGAGCAGGAGCCGGGCAGGCCGGGCTCCCCGAGCTTCCTTGGACCTGACCGTGGGGCTCTTAGGCCGCCTCCGAACACACAGGCACATGCCGTGGTTTTCCGTCTCCACCGCTTATTTCTTGGATTCTTGAACATTCTCTTCTCCTTCCAGCCCTTACCATTTTCATTTCCTCTGGGCTGTCGAGCCACGAATTGGCCGCAACTGCCTGGGCTCCTTCCCACGCTAGGTGTGTGCTGACACACAGTAGGAGCGCGTGGAAATTTGGTGGCGAGAAAGCGTGCCAAGTACCCCACACAGGCCATCTGCTTTTGTGAAAATCATTTCTGGCAGAATTCTGATGAGATTCGAGTTTGTTGAGTGATTTATGGAGCTGTTAAACATACCCTAAATCAGTCCTGCTCTTTTTTTTTTTAAGGGTGGGGGTGGAGCTGTGACATCCTTAAGGGAAAACCCAGTGTCTGAGCTAAAATGTGCCACCTGGGGCCTGGCTGTGCCCAGAAAACAGCCACAGCAGTAACGTGAGCCTGGCCCGTCAATTTGAGTACGATCATTTTAATGTTCCCCAAATCTTGCAAAATGTGTATCCAATTAACCACGACTGAAGGGCCTTATTTATAAAATAATACTTTTGTGGTCAGGTTGCACTTTTTCCGTTCCTTTCTGCTGCACGGGCTCAAGTTGCAGATTCTGCTTGTGATGAAGGGAGACAAACATCGGGTCTCTGCTGGCACCCACCGTGCAGATTTCCATGAAGAGCGAAAACCCGAAGACGTCTCCTCTCAGCCTCTCCCGAGGAGCAAGGAGGCCAGGGCGGCCTGGAAGTGGAGCCGGGGGAGGGGAGGCCACGCGAGCGTACGAGCCAGGGTCGTTTTTCTTGGCCGGGACTGGGGACAAGTGCCGGGCTGTCCGGCAGGGCCCTGACACGGGCCTGGCCCCACGGAGGGGGCGTCTGGAGAACTCTGTGGTATATGGGGAAGGCCTCGCGGGCCCCTCCAGGGGTTGGCTTCCTTCTGTGAAGTCGCTTGTGTTCCTGCTCGTGTGGGCGCATCCTTCTCCGCTGTCCAGGGGCCGTGGTGGAAGCCGTGGGGCGGGGGGGTTGGTGAGGACTGGGGACAGATCGGTGCAGACCTGACCGGCGTCTTCTTCAAAGCCCCGGAAAATAAATATCTTCAGCTCCTTGGGCCAGACCCTCTGGCGTGAGTCCACCCTCTCCCTGGACGTATGTAAATAAATGGGTGTGGCCGTTCCCACAAAATTTGATTTACACAAACGGCCGGGGGGTGGGATGTGGCTCGCGGGCCCCGACTTGCCAACCCGTTTGGCCCAGTGGGAATGCAGCCACACAGAACTGAAGCAAGCTGCCCGCTCCCCCGGGAACAAAATGCTGTCTGTCTCGGGCGGGGGTTTCCATCTGCGGTCTGTGGCGCGCAGGGAAGGTAACTCTCATTGAATTTAATTTCTCTTTCAAGTCCCTTGTGGCAGGTGGCAGACACCAGATGTTAGACATCTGGGCTCCTGCTCCCCTGGAGCATCGCTTAGGCGCCCCACGGAGCCCCAGACAGGCCTGTACCACATGTACCGCATGCACAGAAGCAAGTCACAGGGCCAAGCCCACGGTTACCAGGGTGGGGAGGGGTTTTCTGCCCGTAGTGCCAAGGGAAGGGGCTCGACTATTGCTCGACAATAATCCAGACAATCACAATCATCATGCATATCTGTGAGGAAAACTTGCATCAGCTAAGAACAGGAGACTCAGTGAGGCTTAAGTAATGGGGGGCTGGTATCCCACTAATGAATCTGGATCCAGACAGATGGCTCCAGGATGGGTTTGGTGCCATTGGCACTGACCTCCTGGTGGGCTCCTCTAGACCTGCCATTCCAGAGCCTGGCACTGCCTCGTGGTGACAAAATGGCTGCCAAGCTCCAAGTCCAGCATACTTACATGACAGCATTCCAAGCAGGAGAACGAGGTAGGATCTTCCCCCACTCCTGCTCTTGTCAGGGAGAAAGTCTGCCCTTGATGCCATGCGGGTTTGACTCCTCTGTTTCTTGATCTCCTCTGGTCCAGGTCCTTATGCACAGCCCCGAGCAACGAATCTTTGGAAGTGAGGAAGAAGCCCTGGAGGATGGCATCCTGGCATCTGGGGAGCGCTGGCAGGTGCTGGCACTGAAGCTTTGGGGTCAGTGCTCAAGAAGGCCAAGAGGACAGGGTAGGCCCCTGAGCATTTGCTAGCCCCCTCCTCACTGCTCCCTCCAGCGCCTCCCTGGGACTCGAAACAAGGCCCTTCCCAGGTCACTGAGTATACTTTCTGAACATCCATCTTCCACTGCAGAGCCCGGCTGGTCGCAGCTGCCATGGCCTTGGAACCAGCACTGCTTTCTCCCTGGTAGACAGGGGAGCAGGGATTTGCAATAGTTGCTTTTTGGGACATAGTAGCCCACAACTTCTTGGAACTACCTTCTCTCTCCAGGCCCCAGATGAGAGCGCTGCACCCACACCCTGCCTCGAGCTCGGGCCCCTCCAGTGAAACCTGGATGCACACAGGCTGCTGGGGTGGAGGGGTGCAGGGGGCAGAGGCCTTGCGGGTGGGAAGCAGCAGGCAGATCCTTAACGGGAAGGGCTGTGTTCCGCTCGAGGACACCGTGTCTCCGGTGGAAGGGAGGCGTCGCAGATCCCCAGACGCGGTGCAGCGCCTTTGCTTGCTTTCCCGTGGGAGTCAGGCTGACCCCATAAAACACACAGTTTATCTTCAGGGCGTGAAATGCATTTGACTCTCGGGGGAGGACGAAATCTGTGAGGGGGAATGTTAACACCTGTGGGGCCGCAGGTGACACGAGCCCTGCTTTGGGCCGTGTTGTTACGAATCCTCTGACGTGGGGATGTGGAGGTGACATCTCCCCGTAAAAGCAGATCCGGCCTGTGGAACCTTCCAGCACCACCTCCCTGGCCTTGCTCTGGCCACCTCCCCCCACAGCCTGGCAGAGTAAGTCTCCTTACAGTGCCACCTGCGAGGTGACTCGTGTCACCCAGATGCATGGGCCCCAGCAGGCTGCCTGGGTGTCCCAAGCCAGGGGAGACCATTACTTTTCGAGCCTTTACTACATGCTGACCTCTGGCAAGCTGGGGGCAGAGAGAAGCACCCTCCGTGTCACACAGGGACGGCCAGGGACAAAGCAGGAAGAGCAGATGGGCGGGAATGGGACTCGCGGGATGGTGCGGGCTGTGCCGCAAGGAGTGGAGCAGCGGGGCCAGCCTCCCGGGAGGGCAGGCCTTCCTGCAAGGTGCTTGGAGGAAGCACCCACTTGGCGGCGGCTGCCCTCGGGAGCTGGGTGAGCCGGGCATCTTGGAGGGCCTGAGAAGAGCAAGGAGGCCATGAGGCCGTGGGCAGGGAGGACATGAAGTAAAGTCAAGTGGTGAGCAAGAGACAGGCCACGGGAAGCCTTGAATTCCCATGGGGAGGCCCACTCTGAGCAGACTGCCCCTGAAGACGTGGCCGTGCCGTGCCTGGTCCCCAGTATTCGCTCACATGCTTCGTCCCCAACATTTGTTCGCACTCTGACTCGCCAGGCGCTTGCTGGGCAGCTGCTGCCCCAGGTGCTCATTGGCTGCAGAGACAGAGAAAGCACATGACCAAGAAAGACCCTGCTGACACGGAGCGAATGTTCTGGAACAGGGTTTCTCAGCCTCTGCATGATGGACACTGGGCTGGGTGATCCCTGTGGCGCCTGTCCTCTGCATGGAGGGCTGCGTCGCCGCCCCCCTGGACTCATCCCACTAGATGCAGGAGCACCCACCCTGAGCTGTGGCATGGCCCGTGTCCAGCCAGCTGGCCTGTGTCCGGGTGCGATGGGCCCCACTGGGAAGCTCTGCTCTGGGTCCTGCTGGCCTGTCTCATGCTTGAAAAGTCCTGAAGCTGCTGGAAGAAGATGTGCCTGCAGAAGGTTGTGGGGGAGAGGCGTCCTGGTGTGACGAGTGGGGAACAAGCACAGTGGGGTGGACACAGGGCTCCAGGGTGATGTGGCGGCCCCAGGGGCTCTGAGCTAGGATGCCCCCACCGAGCTCCCCACCTTGAGCCAGGCACCCAGCCTCTCAGCCCCTGTTCACCTGTTTTGAAAAACATGACTGGCCCCACAGAGGGTCAGCTGAGAGCCATGGCACCGACTTCCCAGGCAGGGGCCGGAAGGCAGACCCTGAACAGCGGGGACCATCCCTGCGAGGGGCAGGACAAGCACTGCAAAGCCTTTCATGTGGCAGCAAACTGTTGGTGGACAGCCCAGGCAATTTCAGGGCTCCCGGGGACCATCCCAGCCTCTAACTACATCCCTAGAGTTCCTGCAGTGGGGGATGATGAGCTTTTTCAACATTAAAGCGAAATTCATGTAACAAAACATTAAAACGTGCCGCTCAGGGACACACTGAGCACATTCTCCAAGCTGGGCCAGCCTTGCTCTGGATCCCAACGTCGTCAAAGCCCCAGCAGATAGCGGCCGGCCCCTGCCCCTGCTGTCACTGCAGGGTTACCGCCTCTGGACACGCGCGTAAGTGGAATCACGGCTTCCGAGACCGTCTGTGTGCTGCTTTCACTCAGCATCGCGTTTTCCAGCTTGAGCTTCGATTTACAGCGCAGGTGCTCCTGGGAATGGTAAGCTCGCGGCACGGCAGGTACTTTCTCCAAAGCGGGTCTTATGTTCCTGACAGTGATGGGGCTGCTGAGTCCTCCCACGTGGAGCACCTCTCCCCCAGCTGGAGCTGCCCAGTGTCAGTGGATTGAAAGAGTCCCTGTGCAATTCCGAGGGTGTCGCGGGCTGAGAGCCTCCGTAGGCTGTTATGTTTTGTGCTTCCTTGTCCGTTTTAACTTTTAGATCTGCTGAGTGATACAGCTTTAATAGTCATATAATATTTGCATAACTGTGATAACTGACCCCGCCTGCATATTATAGATGAAGACATGGTGGGTGAAAGGCCCAGAGAGCCGCTCGTGGTTTTTGAGGGGCAAGTTAGGACCAGAACCATCTCTGTCTGGCCTCGAAGACCTGAAGAGGGGCGACGGCAAGGCGGGGAGAGGAGACAGCGGGCACGGAGACCACGCTCCATGCTCTTCACACCCTTCTGAGCTTAGGCTGCCAGAAGACCCTTGGCTCGCTGGATGCAGGATGGTGGGATGGACTTCCATGCCGGCACCTGGAACCTTCCAGGGCACATCTGCCCTCACACCCTCTCTGGGCACACGGGCTGGAACCCCAGGGGGCCTGAAGTGAAGGTCCTAGAGACCTGATTGGCCCTTGGAGGAAAGTCCCTCCCCTTTCGAAGGCTATGATGCAAACAAGGAAAGAAAATAAACTTTTACCGTGTGTATTACGTTCCTGTAACAAATTACCTGAAACTCCATGGCCTAAAACAACACGTTTGTCATTGCACCGTTCCGGAGGTCAGACGTCCTGAGGTCATGGTGTTGGATGGTCTGCTGCCATCTGGACGCTCTGGGAAGAATGTGTTTCCTTGTTTTTGCTGGTTTCAGAGGCTGCCTGTAGCCTGGCTCCTCCCTCCAGCTGCAAAGCCAGGTGAGCAGCCCTGTAGATTGTAGATGCTGGCTCCTCACTGGCCCCGCCACCCCCTGCCTTGTCGTGTCTCCTTCCCTCCCTCTGACCTCCTACTTCTCTCCTATGAGGACCCTCGGCCTCCAGATAATTCAGGAGAATCTTCTCATCTCAACATCTTTAATTAAGTTGCACCTACAAAGTTCCTGTTGCCTTGCATGAAATCTGACTCACAGGTTCCAAAAATGAGGATGAGGGACCCTTCTTCAATCTGCCATGCTGTCACTGTGGTTTGGGGGTTACTCCTACTGGTGCCCAAGGGGGAGGGGTGACTCCTGAGATCAAGCAGGCTCCAATCCAAATATGAATCAAGAAGAATTGAAACTGACCTCCTGTGAAGGACAGAGATTCTTTTTGAGTGTGGGATGGCCTGTTAGGACCTGCTTTTAGGAAAACTCCAGCTGCTAACCCAGATGCTCATGGTAAAAGGAAGACTAAGAAGTCAGGAAGACTACTCTCTCATTCTCACTCAGCTCCCTAAAGACTCAGGCACTTTGCTTTCTCTGGGGAGTCTCACCCCCTTCATAAAATGAAGGGCTTCACCAAGTTCAGAATCAGAGAACATAGCACACAGGCTTCCCTGGCCCCTTCTGTGCCCACAGCAGACATGACCAATCAATTACAGCACATCATTTCTCTCGTTGACTCCAGCTTCAGGCTCACACACTTGCTGCACCTGGGCAGCTGTGGCCAGCCAGGGGCAGTTGGCCCCCAAGGCGAGCCCCAGGGGAATGAGGAGGCCTGGGTGCCCTCGAATCACTGTTTAATTTTTGCATTCTGTAAATGATGATTGTGTGAGTGATCTAATCCTAACAGGAGAGAGGTGAGCAGGTTGCGGAATTTCAGAAGGTTTCTCCTGACAGAGCTGCTCAGCTTCCAGAAGGTCCCAGGCAGCTTTACCTTGGGAGTGGGGCCCACCCACTTGTAGGCAGCTTCTAAATTACATGTTCAAATTTCCCTTCCTCCGGCCTGGGATGGGGGAGGGCTATTCACTTTACAACTGTGGAACACAAATAATATTTCTCTTGGAGAATTTTCTTATTGCCAAGGCCATTTCCCTGAGATCCAAGAGGTCAAAGGTATTGCAGGGTGTTGTCAAGTTGTATTTCTTAAAACCCGCAGAGCTGCTTAATATTTACTCATGCCCAAACACTCGGACTTTTATTCTTACTGATCTCCAGCAGCCCCTCCCCACCCTCGCGGCCCCTCGACCACCTTACACCACCACCCCCACTCTTGAGGCCCCTGTTTCTTCTTGATCACCCTGTCAGCTGTGTTCCCAGACTAGGGATGGGCTTTTTCTTCTCTGGCAGGACTGCTGATCTGTGTGAAGACTGGTCTTTTTCATATCTCTGTGTGTGGTGTTTAAACAAGTTCTGCTGATCGTTTTCTGCATGTGCTACAATCATTGGCATGTTTTACAGAGTGCTCATCTCTGCATTGCTAGGATTTGTTTGAATGTTAGATTTTCAAAAACAGTGTTTGCCAACCATCAGACCCTCCTTATGTAATTGGCATTTATGAAGCCTAATTAAGTGAAATTATACCGTAGCGGTTAGTACAGCTACAGGCTCTGGGGTGGGCGTCAGTTGAGTGACCTTGGGCAAGTGAT